GAGTAGCTAGGATTACAGGTGTGAGTCACAGGCGCCTGCCTGTCTCTTTGTTTTGAGACAGGGTCTTACTGTGTAGCCCAGGCTGGCCTCCAACTCAAAAGCTGCCTGCCTCTGTTGCAGGAGGGCTCAGACAGAGACAGAGAGGGCACCAAAGCTTTGGGGAAGCAAGTTTATTAAGCAAGCCAGCAGCAACTCAGCGGACTTGAGTCCAAAGGCTGAGCCCCGAGAACAAAGGGGCCTTTCCTTATATACCATTTAGAGCAGGTTACAGAAATGGGGGTGGGGGGTGCAGCTTGTCCCATACATAATCACATGTTATTTCATTGGCTGTTTTAACTTCTGGAGCGAGGTGACCCTCCCCTGGTCTCCAGATAACATTCCCCAACTCCAGTTTTCCTTTGTTTTACTGTAGCACTCATGAATCTCTCTTCCCCTTCTTGCCTTCCTGCCACACTCAGCCTCATCATTGCTGGGATTACAGGCACATGCCCCTACAATCAGCATTTTGTTTTTCGTATATGTAGATTTGCAACCAGGCACCAGCTGAAGTTAAGCTACTTAAATCCCATAGAAACTGGGAAATAGGAGCCCTGTTGTCCTTAACAATTACACTTCTGGGTCCTACAGAAAAAAATTCCTGGACTGTAAAACGTGCAAAAGGTTAATTAGGCTTCTAAAAAAGTTTTACATGTGTCACAAGTGGACTGAGAAAGAAGTCACAATGATTTTCCTAAAGTAAATGCTCCAACAAAAAAGAAGAGAGATGATAGTCTCTTACTTCTACTCCAAGGAGAATGAAAGTTTATTAATTTAAATTTGTGTTTGTCCTCAGAATCAGTAAGTCAGTTTTCACACACAAGATAAAAACTGGATTTGGACAACTGGATGCTTCCTGAGATTATATTGTATATATAAAAGAAGTTGGAATGAATTGATTTTTATATTGAGGGTTTTTGTTTGTTTGTTTTGTAATCAGGTCCTTGTGCTTGCTAGGCAGACACTAGAACACTTCAGCCACACCACCTGCCCTTTTTTTCCTTTTCTTTTTAAAACAATTCTGCTGGGCAATATTGTGACATTTACAAGCATTCTTATAACATATCAAATATATCATAGTTGAAGTCACTCCCTCCACCATTCTCCTTTATCTTCCCCCATTCCTGGAGAAGTTTCAACAGGTCTCACTTTTTCCTTTACATACATGAGTACATAGTATTTCCACCATACTCACCCTCCTGCATCCTTTCCTTATATTCCACACAACACACTGGTACCAACCCCCCAGACATGACATGTTCCGCCCTCCAATTTTGTAAAAAATGACAACTTTTTTGTTTCAGATAGCTATACAGAGAGTTTCCTTGTGACATTTCCATGTATATATGTATTATAACCCAAATTGTTTTATTCCCTCTATTTTTCTCCTTTCTAGGCTTAGTCCCCTTCTTATGGTGGTTTCAACTGTTTTGAAGATTCTATATTCATTCTTGTATAGAAAGTGCACCAACCACATTCACCTTCTTAACTTTTTTTTTTTTTGCAGTACCAGGGCTTGAACTCAGGGGCTACACCTGGAGCCACTCCACCAGCCCTTTTTGTGTTAGGTATTTTTTGAGATAGGGTCTCGAAAACTATTTGTCTGGGCTGGCTTTGAACCACAATCCTCCTCATCTCTGCTTCCTGAGTAGCAAGGATTACAGGTGTGAGCCACCAGCACCTGGCTTAACTTCCTCCTTTTATCCTCCCTCTTCCATTAGTGACCTCTCCTGAGTGTGACCTGTTTTTCATAATATTGCTTACATTTGTATTATGTCTATATATGAGACAGGATGTCACTATGTAGCCCAGATGGCCTAGAACTTAAAATTCTCCTGCCTTACACTCTCAAGTGCTAAAATTACAAGGGTGCACCACCATGCCTGCCTACTACTGAGTGTTCCAATTCATGCACATGGCTTATCTTTCATATATTTATTCATACTTTGTAGTTATCTATGTAGGAGAGCTGCATTCAATTTGTTCAATTTGTCCTTAGATACTGATTTTTTTGGTGGTATTGGAGCTTTAACCCAGAGCCTCATACTTGCTAGGCAAGCATTCTACCATACTCCCAGCCGTATTTGCTTTAGTTATTTTTCAGATGTGTCTCATGATTTTTGTTCCTCTGGCCTGCCTTAGACTTCAATCCTCCTGACCTCCAAATTCCTGAGTAGCTGGTATTATATAAATGTAGCTATTGATGTTTAACACTAATACAAGTAAAAACTTAAAAATTTCGAAAACTGCCTGTGATATAATGCAATAATACAAAAGCCAGTTCATTTTGATATATTGGCCTTGTAACACCAAAGTAAAGTTAATTTACTATGCTAAAACAAAACTGGGACTATTACAAATAATAATATTTCATAGATTTTCCTCCCTTATTTTACTAGTTAGATAGCAGCCCAATGTCTCATAGAGATGATGGGGGGGACTCCTGCCTCTAAAGTTTGTAGAAAACTTGCGTGTGGGGGTTGGCCATATTGGCCTTGTATTTGCTAGGCAGACTCTCCACCACTTGCGAATCCGGCACCCTTTTTGCTTTAGTTATTTTTTTTTATATAAGGTCTTACTTTTTAGCAATACTGGAGGGTGAACTCAAAGCTTTGCACTTGAGGACAGCTGTTCAAGGTCTTACTCTTTATGCCTGGCCCAGACCACAATCCTCTTATTTGTATTTCTTATATAATAGCTGCAGATACAAGAGCAATGTTTTTATGGATCCATAAAATTTTTGGTAGATTTGTTTTTAATTATATCTCTTCTATTTTAGCTTACAGTCTTTAAATATACATCAGTTGTTAAAAACAGATCCCCAGGGACACAGATAACAGATGCTGTCCAAAGTTCATTCTTTCTGAGAACTCTTGCTAGGAATGGCTTTAAATCCCAGAAACTCCTTCCAGTGTGAACCATCCCCAAATGATCTTGCACCAGGAAGTCAAGAGCCTAATCAAAGCCATGGATCTGCTGTCCGAAAGGAAGAAGAAATCTCTGAGTTTTCAAGCATTCAGCTCACCTCATTTCAACACAATAACTCATGTGTAAGGCAGGAGTTGCGAAGACTCTATGAGGTTTTTCACTCATGCTTGCAGCCAGAAAAGCATACCAAGGAAGAAATTATTTCTCAGTTAGTTCTGGAACAGTTTATTATTAGTGGATATTGCAAGGACAAGTCCACTTTGAAAGAGAAATGGGAGTCAAGTGGCAGAAACTTGGAGAAATTAATGGAAGACCTGACCGACGATTGCATGAAACCACCTGTCTTAGTGAGTAGAGGGCTCTGACCTGGGATGAGGGAATGAGGAAAATAATGAAGTACAGTGTGAGTTGCCTGAAAATAGAGAAAAAAGTTATTGTAGATCCAGTTATTATTTTGATCACATTCTCCCCACCCTTTCTCACCAAGGAGAATTACACTTCTCTAAGGTAGAACGGAATGTATCTGTTTATTTTGTAGGACACACAGGAGCCAAAAATATTGTTTGGAGTTAGTTACTTTCAGTTGATATAGAGTCAGAGGGACTGTCTCAGAAATTAGCATGTGGGCATAGACCTCAAGGATAAAGAGGAAATGCACTGACAAGCTGATTCTCCAGGGAGTCATAATATAATGTCATTAATCAGAAAAGACAAGCTACAAAAGCAATTACAGAGGATCCTCATTACCACAGTCCAAATTTGCAAAATTCTCAGTCCTATGTCACATTCTCAGTCATTTGCAGATATCCATTGTGGTTAAACAAATTTGAGTTACCTGATACACACACTGAAATTAAACAAAGTGTATTGTGACTTGTTTTAGTTCCCACACTCTAAACAAGTGTCCTTTTTCACAGCCAGTGTCATGGCACATTTTCACACTTTTGGACTTTTTGTTGATGATTTCACTGTTTAAAATGACACTCAGCTTCTAGAAGTACTCCTGAGTACACAAAAGCTATTATGTGCCTTATGAAAATAATTTATATACTGGATATGTTTTGTTTAGGCAAGAGTTAAAGTTACTGTTGGGCATAAATTCTAACTAATAGAGAACACATATTAGTGAAGATATCTTAGATAGGCATAAAACAAGGTTATGTATTGACAAGTTAAGAAAATATTGTGGCCAGAAGCTCACAGGAGACTAATCTTCCCTCAGCATGATTCAGTATTTACAAATTCAGGGTGGACTTTATAGAACATAAAAGACTTGTAAATGAGAACAACACCATCAGATGTTAAGGGCTGGACAAGATGTGGTAGCCCACATATTGTTGATCTTGTGAAAGCCTGTTGAACAGGTTTTCCAAAGAGTTTTCTGTCTGTCACAAGAGATTCAGATAAAATAGTACTTTGCTGGGGTTTTTTTTGTTTTTTTTTTTACAGGTCCATGTCCATATGCAGGGACAAGAAGCCCTCTTTTCTGAGAATATGCCCTTGAAAGAAGTCATCATTCATCTCAAACAGTTAGCAGAAACCTCAAGCGAAGAGTGTATGGGGACATCCTCCCAGACTCAAAACACTCCCTTGGAAACAGATGAGTCAGGTGAGTCTGCACACCATAGGGGTGTTCTGTGTGAACCTCTTCCTGTGCACAGCTTCATAAAGTGACTTATTTCCACAGAAGATGAAGGCAGCTGCAGAAATTACTGGAAAACTTCTCAAGTGAATGCCAGTGTTACCATTCAAGGAAATCAAATATCTTCCCTCTCCATTATCCAGAAAGAAAATGACTCCAGGACTAATGAGGACCCACACAACTACAGAAGTGCGAGGCCAGTCACTTCCAGGTCCCTGAAGGGATTTTATCAAGAGTCACCTATGGAGGTGCAACCAGGGTATCTATCCAGTCCAGAGCAGTCCTCCCCTGTGCCTGTTCTTATTCACCAGAGCAATGAGGAAAATTCAACATGGAAAAAACGCCAAGAAATATTCCAAGGACCCACCAAACCATACAAATGTGAGGAATGTCCCAAGACCTTTAGGTATCTCTGTCACTTTTCAGCCCACCAGAGAAGACACAGGAATGAAAGGCCATTTGTTTGTGGTGAGTGTCACAAAGGCTTCTATCAGGCATCAGACCTACGAGTGCATAACTTAATCCACACAAGAGAGAAGCCTTTCACATGCAGCACATGTGACAAGTCATTCAGCCACAAAACCAACCTGCAGGCTCATGAGAGGATCCACACAGGAGAGAAGCCCTATACATGCTCTGTTTGCCAGAGAAGTTACCGCCAATCATCCACATATCATCGTCACCTGAAAATTCATCAGAAAATCAGACTCAAAAGTGTTCCTTCTACACCATAAGTGTCCATGGCTAATGTACCAATGTAATGTATATAAATACATATGAATGTATGTCTATTTCTATAACACTTACCCACCGAGAATATGCTGTACGGTTTCATTATAAAGCTTTCTATTTATTGTCTCACTCCACTAAAATGTAAGCCCAAAAGTGGGTATGAAATTTGTGAATTTTGCTCACTAAAGTATTCCAAATGCCTAGAAAGTAGTTGAGATGTCACGACCAATAAATATCTGTTGAATAAATGGATGAATCAGTAATGTTAATGTTTACTTTTTAAAATTCAAGAATGTGTCCCACCTGAAAAGACAATTGAGTTGCAACCTGGAAGACAGCATCGGCTCACAGTGGTCCAGAGAGGCTTTCCCTATCTGCTCCGCTATCCTCCTAGCACAGCCTTTACCTCTGCAGCTACTGATACCTGAAAACATGGGGATCAAAGGTGGATATGAAAGAGCACCTTTGTATGTAAATGACATTATGACTTCTGGAAATGTTAAACTGAATTAAACTGAAGCTAAATATGAAAGTGCAGAATGCAGTTTTATGGACAAATAGATAACAGAAAAATCAAATGTTTTCCATTAATTTCTTCCAAAGATGGGGGGTAGGAAGAGAAGGGAAGCTTATTTTCAGGAACAGCTTGAGAAAGCAGTTTGGAGGATGAATTCTGTACAGAGCTGAGGTAAGTGGGTACATGTGGTCAATTTGTTAGGATACATGTGTGAATGGATTCCACTGGCAAATTGCATCTCAGTTCCACTGAGCAACTAGAAAGTACCATATGGAAAAGTTCCCTTATTCGTTTTCTTTCCTTGACCATCTATAGGTATTCTGCTATTGTGGACATTCTTGCATAAGCTTCTTGGTACATATAAGGGATTTTTGTTTACAAAGCGCTCTATGACACAAGGAGGCTTTCAGAGTCTTCCCTCTCCCATTAAAACACCATTAGCAACAACAACAACAAAATCCTAAATGTTCATGACTTCTCCAATACTTGGTAGGGTAGTGGCTCTGATTTTAGTACGTAGATGTAGTTATTGGAGTTTACAGACAAAATAAAGGACCAAATAAAGCTCTTTGTCTCCTCACCCTTAGCATAGGAAATGTGCTTGTATGCTTCAGGTTTAATGCACGTTTTTATGTTTTCCATGACATAGCAGCTCTAAAGACTGAGTGGCGTTTTACAGGTCCTGAAATCACAAATACATTACAGCAAGCGCCTGTCCTCCATCCACTTCCGGCTGTCAGGGGTTATATTCCCATTATATCCGTGATGGTATCTAGAGTTCAACGATACAAAAGTTTCCTGGTTCACACACTGCACTGAGGGATAAACTGCCAGAATAAACGTGTTGGAGTAAAGGCTTCTGGGAGTTGTAGTCCATCCTCCGGGGCGCAGAGTGCTCCTCGGGGAGCTGCCGTAGGTCTTCGCACAGGCGCATATGGGACTTCGTGAGGCCGTAACTGTGAAGGCCTAGTGGGAGGTGAACCCTCGGGCGGTCTGAAGGTAGTTGCGGAGCTGGAAACGATGGCAACAGGGAACTGGATTTCGGGACTCGAGACGGCAGTCTCTAGAAACTCCTGTTGCAGCCAGACGCTTCGTAGGCCTCCCGTACTTGAGGTGGTGGCACGCTGGCCGCGTTGGTTTCTGTTAGCTGTAATCTGAGGAGAGCTGTGCGCAGGGGTGCCGGCTCCATGCCGAACTTCCGGTCCAGAGCGCCTCTTGTGGAGATGGGGGTTGAGTTTTTGTTTCCAATTTTGCTTTCCAGCTAAGCATATCCCTGGACACTAGCACCCAGTACTCCTATAAGTGCCACCTTCCCAAACTCCCACATTTTTCATATCATGTTCTCTATTCATCCTCCTTCTGTTTATTAAAAAAAACACCCACAATCATCTGTTGGAAAGGACTGACCTTACCCAAACAGAGAGGTCTACCCTTTGCCTCCGGCCTTTGAAAGACAGTGGTTAAACACTTGGAATCCTGCCTAATGAAAATGTTTTTGTTTATATAGCACCTGAGTCGGGCTAGATATTTAACAATGATTTTTGGTGGCTGCTGTGGACCACATTCTATCAGCTCTATCTCCAGGGCAAAAGTGGAGCCCAAAGATTGTATTTGTGCTCTTGGTTTACAGGTCATAAATTATTTTGCTCACTCCACTCAGGGTCTCATCCTTATTATGAGTCTCAGGTAGGATTGACAGATTTTGTTCATCTTAGCAAAATAAACTTGGGCTATTAATTTCTCTGTGCTATGGTTTGAATGTCCCCCAAAATTCATGTATTGTAACCTTAATCCCAAATGCAGCAGTATTGAGATTTGGGTGCTAAAGAGGGGTGATTAGATCATAGGAGCAGTGCCCTCATAAATGGATTAAGGTCAGTAATGTTTTCCATTAAGACTGGCCTTTCTGTGACTTACCTGATCTCATTCTCCACCTCTTTTTTCTATTGTGCTATTTGTGAGAGCTCTTTGCATATTAGAGAAATGATCACCTGATCATTCAGCTGGTACACATCTGAGGGGATTGTTATTGTTGTGGTTTTGTTTTGCTTCTGTTTATAATTTATGTTATTTATCTTTCTGTCTCTGCTTTACATCTTATTTGATGGAGACCTTAAGGATAGAGTTATGAATGAACGGTGGGAATGTAAAACAGGTCATGTTAAGAGAAGGGCACTAGTGGGGGAAGTAGAGTGTAAGGGAAGGGGAATATAGTTGAAGTACTTCTACTATGCATGTATAAATATGGAAAATTGAAACCTGTTGTTGAAGTCACTTTAAGATTTAGGGGAATGGTGTAAGAGGAAGACTAATGGAGAGGATGAACCAATTTGGGTTATAAAATATGTATATATGGAAGTTGTTACAATGAAATCCCCTGTATAACTCTCATATACCAATAAAATGGTTTTTTTTAATGAGGAAGAAATTTTAAGACTGGCAGAGTAGTTCTGGGGTCACAAGTACTCTTGTTAATGCATCAAACATTAACTTGTCAAAAACTTCTTGCTGTCTCTGAATAGAAGTTACAGAATTTGAAAAGCTGAATGATTTTTCAATTACTGAAAAGAATGAAACTGTTTAGTCAAGTAGGAAGTGGTGATAAACTTTGATATTCTTTACAATCATCAATGCTAAAGATACTAAAAGTGTATGAATTTATATCAATAAGTGGCATACCACTAGAATACTAATACTATATATAGCCATGTCATATATTTGGGTTAAAACTGTATAATTACATTTAATAAAAATTCTTCCTTATAATACTTATACTCAAAAAGATAGGATTATGCAAGCTTTGGTGTGGTTGTGAAACCTAATCTTTTTATGCACTTGCAGCTTTTGTCTTTTCTTTCTGCTGTACTGACTGTGTTTTAAACACTTTATATTGTCTTTCCACTTTGCAGAATCACAGACATAATTCAGGCCAGTAGATCATAGTAGATATGTGGTATGTGGGAAACTCCCAAGTGTCATGATAGTGGTTAATATTTCTCTGACTGGGTTTGTAAGACATTTCTTCAAAAGAAAAAATGTCTCAATCATTTAATTTGAAAATATATAGAATGTATTCTTCTGAGATCAACAGCAGTTAATAAATTATAGATTGACATAAACGACACTCTTTTTTTGACAGTACTGGGGTTTGAACTGGACCTTGCACTTGCTAGCCAGAAACTATATCACTTGAGCCACCCCTCAGCCCTATAAACAACACTCCTTTAGAATATATTCATCTTTGGAAAAGATTTTTCTGGTGGTGAAGAGATGAACATATGATTTGAGCCATTTGATGACAGTAATGTACACTTGTAATGTTCTCTACTGGGCCGAATACCCTAAAAACGATTCCTGACAACTTGGTAATGGGCATTTCTTCTTGTCTCAGATTGCTGTGGGAATCCTGGGCCGTTCCTCACTTCTCCTTCATTATTCCTTCTAGGTAGTGTCTGGAAAGAGATGCACAAAGAGGTAATTATAAAGCACTTCAGTTGTGACAACACCTTGCCTATTTGCTCAAGAGGAATTTTTCAAACAATGGCCATTTGGATTGAAAATATTTCTTGAATGACATTGGGTGTAAACTTGTTCTCAACCTTTATCAAGTATCCCAGGGGGGGTTCCCTATTCATTACTTGCCTTCTGAGTTGCTTCCAAGCAACCAAAATCACCCCCAGCAACACCTGGTAGAAGAAGGTTAAACACAGAGCCACCAAGTGTATCAGCTTTTTTTCTGTTTGCTGGCTTGTGCATCTGTTTCTAAACATCATGATGACTGTAAGAGTGACAGGTTCTAGGAACAGTGGAAATGTTACTAGTAAAATGAATTTTGGGTATTGCTCAGGGTTTGTTTCTAGCACCATTGCAACTGCATTGTATATGCTTTTCCTGTGCTTCACCGATGATCTCTTTAGTTCTCATGCCCTGAGCTAGTGGCTTCATAGTGAGCATCCTCTACAGGCACAAGAGGCAGGTACAGCATTTCACAGTGCCCACCATGCCCCTAGGGTCTCCCCAGAGGCCAGAGCCACCCACACCATACTGATCCTTGTGGACACCATTGTCACCATCTGCTTACTTTCTTCCCTTCTGATACTCTATACACCTTTCTTTGATAATCCAAGGATATAGCTAATGAACATATTTGTATTTGTAGTACTATGTTTCCCTATATTTAGCCCTTTGTTCTTACTGCTATTAACAATTCTGTCTTTTCCTTGCTTGGGGAAAAGGTAATATTCTCTGAATTGGTCACAAGTTCTGGTGACGTGTTCTCTGATACATTCACATGTTCCTCCATCTACTAGGTAAGTCTGTCTCAGTGTGCACCAGATACTGCTAGGTACTATCATGGCTAAATATTGGACAGACACAGTCATCCCAGCCATGATAGATGCTGTCCCATATTTCCAAAATGTTCAGGCATCCTTTTGTCTACATTGTAAAAATTCTGAAATTAGGAGGCATCATATACTGAATAGC